TTCTGTTCTGTTCTGTTCTGTTCTGTTCTGTTCTGTTCTGTTCTGTTCTGTTCTGTTCTGTTCTGTTCTTTTCTTTTCTTTTCTTTTCTGTTCTGTTCTGTTCTTTTCTTTTCTTTTTGCCTTTCACTTTTTTCTCTTAATTATCTTTCATTGGCTTTTCGTTTTATAATTTTCTAATTTCTATCTTTACCTTTTTCTTTTTTTCTAGTTCTTTTTTCTTTTGATTGTTTTCTTTTTTCATTAGGTTCCTTAATTTGGTTTCCTTCCAATCAAATGTCTTCTAAAACAATCACTCTCACCTAATTATAAAAGGTAGGAAAGTTATGATTTAGTCTAGTTTCCTGCTAGCATTCCTGCCACAGATGAAACACAGGAAATTGTATACATACAAACAAAATAAACATAAACAATTTATTCTATACTTTGATAGTTATTCCTAGATGTTTCCCGTCGTTCGTATTCTAATTAAAATCGTGATGTGAAGTCAGGCTTTATGTGTAAATCTCATTATCCCTAATCCCCATTACCGGCTCAGTGGGGATTGAAGCCAGCATTCATCTACAACTACTTCAGATACATTGAAAAAAGTGTTCGTAAAAAATCGACGTGTTTGATATATATTCTCTATAGTAGTGAACTTCATTGGATAACCGAGAAAGCATTCTCTTAGCTCTTTTATCTATCTGTAAATTTATTCATAGAGTTATTGCAAAACCAAAAATATACAAACATCTGCAGCAGTGCACAATATAACGAAGATTTTCAACTAAAATCACTTATTGTCTGTCCAGTGAAGATTATCAAGATTGTAACAGATTTGAAAATCATCATCTTGACCAATTCGCCTCCTTCGGTTAAAGACTCATAACTGGTATGGAATTACATTCGTTCTTGTACTAATAAATAATTAATTCGTATTTTTTTATCTTAGCTGCCTTGATATTTTCGCGGTATGCAAGTTGTGGAGAAGCTGTCTTAAGCTCATGACTAGTGGGATTCCCACCATCCTACTGAATAAGTTCTTGATTGAAAGACCATGATAACTCTGTTGGCGTTGATTACATTTTCTCTACAGGTTAGGCAGACTCATTCATTTAATTCTTCGGCCTTATCCCACGCGGGTTCTCATAACTCAATGCTCTATTTATCTTTCTAGGGTCTTGTGAGTACGTACAGCAAGATAGTTGGTAAGTTCAAATATTTTCACTCCCAAGGAGTGACCAGGAATAACCGCTTTTTCCCTGTCTACTTGAAATTGGTATAAAAGCTGCGGGGCAAAATAAGAGAAAATAAATCTCTATCAAAATAGTTAATTGCAATTAGCGCTTCAAACATTGCAAACGTTTACCCTCGTTATAATACTTGTTCAAAATCAGTCTTTCAATTTATATATTAAATATTATTTTTGTATTGCGAATATTGACTATCCTACTTATAGTTCGTTGTATACTTTGTTGTCACTAAGTTTTCTCATTTCAAAATGAGTAATTTTTTTCTAAATTTCGCGTTTTGAGTTTGCATTTTTTTTCCTTTAAGCTCTAAGGTAATTATAAAAGCAAATAATTCAAAAATCTTTCAGGATACAAATCATTTATTGCCTTTATATACTTGATAAACTTGAGTCCTATTTCATTCCACTTTTTTCATTCTAAATCTTACTCCAAATCGAGTAAATAAATAAATTCATTCAATTATTATCTTGAATGAATAATGTCCCATTGAATATAGTACGATAATATCGAGTTCAGGTTGAAAGAATAGGCGGATTAAGATTCCCGTTTTTCCTTCCCGCAAAGGGCAAACCTGACCACGTTTTTATCGTTTCCCTACATTTCACTCTACCTTTTGCAAACCTTCTCGACAAAGACAAGTGTTCTTTTGTTTATCTACTACTTGGATATTTTTGTGATTCCTTTTCACTTATTTTAAAGAAATTTTTAATCGTCAACTGACGGTTCACGTTTGTCGTAAACGAGAATCTTAAGCTCTCTATTAATAAAAAAACTAAATACAGTGACATAATTTAGTCTGATACTTCAGTAAATGAAAATCGGAATTTTAGAGCAAGATAAGGAGCTCTAAAGTAATAGATGTAAAGATCTTCATTGATTCAAGTGATGACTAGTGCTAATTACCTGCTACTGTGTATTATCTCGTACTTGAACAGAGCTCAATGGGTATAGGTTATATCAGTATATATGAATAAAACCAAATCAATCTTTTGTTCTGAAAGGGTAACTTTATCGAGGCATTTTGTGCTTTCTAACAACAGTTAATGGGCTTTTTTGTCGCTTAACTACGACATATCCCACACGCTATTCGCCTCTTCTTCCCTCTCTCCCCTTCTTTTTCTTTCTATCTTTCTCTCTTTTTCTCCTTCATTCTATACGTTTTATTATTTTCATTCTTTATTTTCATTCTTTTTCATTCTTTGCCTCGAAAAATTCTATTGCTGTGAAATGAACTGATATTTCTTCACGTGATAAAACACACCAAACATGTTGCTAGGGTTTTTCAAACCACAAACCACAAAAAGGTATTTTTAATGCTATTTTAGTTTTGTCCGTATTGGCTAGTTTAACTCAGTTTAAAACTCAATAAATACTTTATAATTGCTATGAATGAAATATCAAATATTGTAACCGTTTAAAGGTGAAAATTCTATTTACTATATAACAGTTTAGCTGAAAGTATCATAAAAACTCGTAAATATCGGATATCGTAAATATCTCGCTGGTGCTAGTAGTCCCTTTAATCTTTAAAAACGTCTATTTATATAAACACGACCTGTTCTATTCACGGTTTTATGAACCACAGAACAATACTAAAAAATCCCACATACAAGTTCCGACAAATTAGACAAGAAAAACAAAACAATGTTCAGTCACGTTTATCGTTGATTAAAGTAAATTGCCTAGACCGACTTTCCCAAAAATATAAGGGTTTCTAAGCTTTTTGATATCAATTCAAGACGAAGACTTTAAATCGAATTTATGTGCTTCTATCGACTAATTGTCGATGACTATTAATCAAAAACCAATTTTATTTTCACGGCTACTTGTTTTGTGGTTTTCGACATATAACCTCACGCTTCTAAGGGGGGTCTTTGCGGCAGAAGTTCAGAAAAAACATATCGCTTTTCTTTTCGATATTCCAGTTTTTCCGTCTTCGAGCGGATTGTTTATAAAAACGAGATCATAATAATTTTAAGGCTATTTTTTTAGGAAAAAATTCTTGATTGGAACAAGAGCAAGAGAATAATATGAACTACTTAGTTTATATTCTCTTGACAAGAGTTTAAAGTGCGTTTGTGTTGAGTAGTAAGTCGTAACTGATTTATTTTGCCGAGGGATGTTCACACCCTCCTGTTTTGTCTGAGGTATTGTATATTTTCTAAAATGCTTTTAAAAAATGATTTAAAGGACAAGAGGAGTACAATTAAATCCCAAATTGTACTCTGTAGAGTCCCAATTAAGTTGCTCAATTTTGTTGAGCGTATTATAAACAAAAAATCGCACAATCTTCTCGTACAATTCGGAATTTATAGATAGGAGTGATGTTTTGAAAGTTTTCAAAATTGGACGAGTCTTTAGGCGATAAATCCTTAATTGTACTCGAGATCACGAGCGATTTCCTATACTAAATTCACTGGCACAGTGTGACGGTTCAGGATAATTCATAGACCAAGCACCCGGCGGCAGGCTTGAGGATTTTGTAAATACAAAGTATGAGTTCTTAAAGAACAGACTCGTTGGCATTATAATCACTGGTCGCTCAACCAATCACAGCGAGCGAAACTATATATTCAAGTGTAAAATTATACTAAAACTAGGCATTCAATTTATTTATATATAATTAGTGTACGAAATCGCACGATCTCGAGCAATTTGGAATTTATAGAAACAAGCGATGTTTTAAAAGTTTTCAAAATTGGACTCTACGATTTGGAATTTAATTGTACTCCTCTCGTCCTATCAGAATCGAGTAATTTTGTTGGGTATATTATAATGATACTAATTCGTATTTCATTTGTCTCTATACTGTGATATAAACACGCTGGGAGCTGTAGAGCATGAGTGAAAACATCTTAGGAAAACAAGTAGCCGAGGGTTTTTCTTGCTTTTCGAGCGCTCTACAGTTCCCAGCGTGTTTATATCACAGTACAGAGATAAATTAAATATGAATTAGTATTTATATTGTTTTTATTGTTTTTATTCGTTTTATATTGTTTTTATAAAATATTTTTGAGCAATTTTGTGCGAGGACATGTCTCTGTCCTGATATGAACACGGTAGCCAACCAATTAGCGCGTCCATTATCTCAAAAATTTAATAATTAAGGAATATAAATGACGAGAACAAACTTAGGACTGACCTGCGGTAACATCTCAACGCAGCATGCGTAATACTATTCTCAAACTGCAGACGCGTCTTACTTTCCCGCCAAAAATTTACTGAATGACTGATAAAAAACATCAAAAGCTGTAGGACGTTTTTCGATAGAAATATCAAGAAAAGTACCATATTATCAATGACTTTATCTTAAACAAAGCAAGAACAATTTGTATTCAATATCTAATTATTGCTTTGCTTACACAGAACTGATTTATTTTTGTCCTTAGGTCATGATCCGTGGTATAAATCGTCAGCACATTACTGGTCATTCAACACCATCAATACCAATAAACACCTCAAAGATGTGACAGGCTACGAAAAAAGTAATGTATATGGAGGAGCAGAAACCATACCTGGAGTCAGTAAATATGCTTTAAAGTTAGATGGAGTCGTTAGTACAGGAGCTAATCTCGGCAACTTTGCCGGGACTTGCCTTAGCGAGCCGTCTATCTGTAAGCATGGGTTTACCGTTTCGTTCTGGTTAAAGCTAGATGCATCAAGCATCAGTGAAATATTCTATCAAGTTATTCTTCAGTTATCAAGGACTTTGGAATCAGTAGGTTCTACAATTTACGCGAAAAAGAATAAAATTGGATTTGAAGTGAATGACAGAAACATTAGCAGAAATGTCGAAGTTTATTGGAACTACACTGAATGGGTTCATGTCAGTCTGGTGTGGAACAAAATGGCGGATACTGTCCAAGTGTTACTAAATTGCGAACAAAAGCCTTATTTGAAGCAAACTGAAACGACCAATAAGTTTTCAATAATCCCTGCACAGAATCAACTTTGGCTCGGATCGAATTATGCTCAGTTAAAAAACTGTAAATTAGAAATAGATGAATTGGTTATTTGGTACGACGTTCTGTCTTCACAAGACTTGTGCTACATCAAGGACGCCAGAGCAGGTAGGTTCATTGATATACTTTAATTAGTGTTCGCTCTTATTTGTATATCTGAAAATAGCTGTCATGCTGAATATTGTTAATCAGTCTTGGGTTCACCCCAAAAAGCCGGGTTCCAGATTCCATCTTGTTGGATGACACTCCCTTTGGATGGTTTACAATCATTCTTAAATGGCAGCCATCTTGGATGATATTGACAGTGCATGTTTTGCAATAATTCCTAAGTGGCACGTGAACCATAATATGGCCTATAATTACTATAGCTGGTTTACAATTAGGTCTATTTCTAAGTGACAGTCATCGTGCATGATGTTCACTATGGACGGCTTACAATCATTAGTACCAAGTGGCAGCCATCTTGGATGATATTCACGATGAATATTTTGCCACCATTCCTAATAGATAGCAGCTCTCGGGGAGTTCTTCCAACATGGCTGCCACTGTTGATTTTTCATCGTCTACCTGCTTTCCACTAACTCTGTAGTTTGTCTTCATTTTCAGTCGATGGTGGGTTTTCACAATGGAGTAACTTTTCCTCATGTAGTGCATCTTGTGGCCAAAGTACACGAATACGTGAACGAACCTGTACAAATCCTCCAACTCAACATGGTGGAATAAGCTGCTCGGTTCTTGGTCCATCTCAAGAATCAATGCCTTGTTTCCTAAGGAAATGTCCAATCCACGGTAACTATACTTCCTGGTCAGAGTACACGCTCTGTAGTAAAACCTGTGGGGGTGGGGTACGTACTAGATTTAGAACTTGTTCTAATCCTGAACCTCAGTACGGAGGAATGAACTGTTCCCGCTACGGGGACTATATCGATAGACTAGCCTGCAATGTTGATAATTGTCCAATAGATGGAGGATATAGTCAATGGTCAAATTATTCACAATGTTCAGTGTCTTGTGGTGATGGAATTAGAACGAGAACGAGAACCTGTACTAAACCTGTGCCTCAGTATGGAGGGCTAAATTGCTCCCATCTTGGAGGAACAGAGCAAACACAGAAATGTTTTGTTACAATATGTCCAGTAGATGGTAACTACAGCGAATGGAGTGTGTTTTCGTCTTGTAGTAAAACTTGTGGCAGAGGAATCAAAACTAGGAATAGAAAGTGTGATAATCCCGCGCCAATAGGGGGCGGGAGAGATTGTTTGCGTCTTGGGCTACCTGTGGAATCAGTAGCTTGTAATACACAAGAGTGCCCTATTAATGGAGGGTATAGTTCGTGGTCTATGTTCAGTACTTGTTCAAAATCATGCCAAGGAGGAATTCAGATAAGGACCAGAAACTGCACAAATCCGCCTGCTCAAGAAGGTGGAATGAACTGCTCCCGTCTAGGACCCCCTAAAGAGACACGGAGTTGTAATACTGATCCGTGCCCGATTGATGGGGCGTACGGACAGTGGAGTGATTTCGGTCAATGCTCAGTGACGTGTGGTGGAGGAAGAACGCGCAGAACCAGGAAGTGTGATAGCCCGAAGCCATCGTATGGAGGAAAAAATTGTTCAAAACTCGGTCCAAACAAAGAAATCAAGACGTGTAATAATGAAGATTGTCCGGGTAAGTATATTCGTCGATGATGAACTAAATGGTTTGAAGCTACTTTCACACAAGCTTCGAAATCGAAAGCAACGGTGTTGCATTTATCACCCGTGCATGTATCACCGGTGTGAAAAAAGAAAAAGCATTGTTAAGCTTTTGATTCCGAATCTTACGCAATTGTGAACCACGCTTTACCAGTCTTCTCACAGAAATGTTTTGTTTTATTAATGAAGAAAAAAAAATGGTTCCAATATCACTTCAACGGCACTCTATTACCAGAGCAGCCGCAACGGCTTCTATCATGTCTCCTTGTAAAAACGATGTCATGGATCCTCACTTTCATGTTAACTCACATAGTTCCAGTGATACTTTTAAAAGGCTGATGGCTGTGGTTCACATCTGCCGCTGAGTACAAGCAAAATTAACATATGCAAACACAGTGAGAGTGTTAGAGAAGAGCTGCAATGAGTTTGCACAAGTCGTTTGCTCTCATGCTGCAAAATTAGTGTAACCGCCTTCTGTTTCTGTTATTTTCCAGATATTTCCTTCGTTTCAACGATGGTTTTTACTGATGAAGTATTTCGACCAGAAATGTACGAGACATCGGCCGAGGCGTTTAAAGAACACACGAAGAAAGTCAAGTGGAATGTAAGTTTACCACATTATAACACATTTTCTCAAGTTGCGCTCTTGGAGCTGGTTCACAGTAGCGTAGGTATCGGACGTCGTATTAAGGGCGCTCAAAGATGGGCGCTCACAACTAGTTTGAACTAAAAGATGCAATAACAGTAGACATTAGGCCTTAGCTTGGGCGTATGGTCCACGTGTTATCCCCTTGATTTAGTTATATCCTTATCCACTTGTCTTCTCGTGCACAACCATTTAACTAAGAAATGATATTCCAGGTAATGACACCTTATCTGAAATGAAAAACATTACGCCCAAAGCTATGACGTCGAAATTGGAATCGGAATAAGAATCATAAGGATTTCTTGTTCATATGATCATGTGGGAATAACATTTAACATACAAATACCTCATAAGGTTTGTAGTTTTATGCCTCGTCTACTTTAGATGCGCATGCGCATTATCTCCCTTTTTATTGGTTCTAAAAACAAAACACGGTTCTTTTAGATAATTCTATAGTAATAAGAAGCCCGCTGGGCAGTCCTATATTGTGTTCAGTGGAATTATTTAATACTATGCATATGGAGATATTTCAGTACTGATTAATATATACTTTAAATCGACGTTGTTTGCAGCTCAGTAAACTTTACGGCCCGGAATCAGCTCTCAAAGAAGTGGTGATCAGTTTTTGTCAACCAAGTGATATAACGATCAACGGGTAAGTTATAATAACAAAGAACAAACTAATGCATTTACTCTTATAGTTGCCAAAGAGGCACAGAGGCACAAAAGGATGCACGATGGCAGGTTTACTGAAAAGGAAGTGGGATCTAGAGCAAATTGGAGTTTCGTTTTTCCTCTTCTTGTTATGATAAAATTAACAGTTATTTTATAAATATTCTCATATGTTAAATATTTTGAATCAAGAATTATGACAAGAGTACCCTTTGTTGATATTGACTTATAGGTCGAGTGGGATCCAGTGCAAATTGGAGTTTCGTTTTTCCTCGTCGCGTTATGATGGGATTATCAAACTACAAGACGCTTTGCAGATTAAACGACGTATTCACGAGATGCCTGTCAAGTCGTTCTTTATTAACAGCGTAGATGGTAAGAATAAACTCGATGAATACTCTCGATTCTCATTTGGTAAACACTGCGTGCTGTGTTTTATGACTAATGGATCATGTGTTCAGGCTTAGCCTCGTTTAAGAGCAAATCATTCTGCAAAAGTCAACTGTAATGTAAAGAATGTGCAAGGAGAAAAATGCCAATGTGTTTTTCTTTTTTTTTTTTTTTTACCAATGTGTTATTTCCCGGACTTTTGATAGCGTCTGTGATTGGCTGACTAATAAACAAGGCTAATCCTGTGCAAGTGAGTCTGTGGTCTTCAAAACAGCGATTGTGAAACTGGTGTATTGTCGTTGTATTGATTAAGATCAATTTATTCTTGATCTAGATTTAGTAGGGCGTACAGGGTCGTGGATAGCACCGCCGAGCAGTCAGCTCCTACAGTGTTATGTGATCAATGACAGGGGCGGATCCAGGATTTTTTCAAAGGGGGGGGGGGGGG